ATCAAGCAATTAGCCTTCATCAAAACAGCAGTATGGCTGGGGAAAAACAACTAAATGATTTCCCCAAAGCTTCTCCCACATAATACTGGCACATACAAGCCTCCTGGCACACAGAGAACCGAGCACCAGTCTCGGTCTGCAGAGCTGCTGGGTTTGGGGAGAGTGGGGCAAAGAGGGGAAGGAGGATTCCTGGACACATTCCCAAGACCTCAATGAACTTGTGCACACGCTGCTAACAGTGGACTGAAACAATATCGTACAGCTTAATGAAGAGTAAGGAAAAAGTCATTTGTGTTCAGCTTTCAGACTAAAGCCATTCCTACTGCGTAAACAATTTTCATTTCTATGCTATCTACCTTAGTAACCCTCCGTGGAAACACAAATTTAGACTTAGCAGATGTCAGATTCAAGGTAGTTTCCATATTGTTAGAAATATGCCTAGCTGTTTTCAACTGGAGCTCAGAGACAGGACTTTTCATTTGGAACAAACCAGTCTGAATTGCCATTTCAGAACAAACCTATTGGAGATGCTTTCATCCATGTCAGTGAGCCCACATATGTGAGCAGCATACAAGCACTAACAATTACCTTTTTCTTGTTGAAGCAACTGACACCTTTCGTTAAGTTCTTGTATCAGTTTAAATGATTCTTCCTCTTTTGTTTTGAGGGTATCCCTCAGGATCCCAATATCTTGGTCTTTCTTTATCAGCGTCTCCTCCATCTGGGCAATGTCTAGTTTGTATTTCTCAACTGTTTCTGCAACGCTACTGTAGGAGAAAATTCAAGTATTTGTTACCACTGAATTTTGTTTGTAAGCTTACACTTCAGCACAAAGGAAAAATGCTTAGGATTGTTGGTTTCCAACAGGAAAACTGCCTTCACCTACTTTCCCAGACACAAGCTTTTGCACATTAAGACAGGTTAATTAAAAGCAATTTATTTCAACACTGATGTTCTGTTTTAAAATAAACTTATACACTCACACAAACAAAATATAAAGGTTCGATTAAAACAGAATTAGTTGCTATAATTGATTCACAGATGACTGCTACATCCATTTTTTTTTTTTTTTTACAAAGTTGACTCGACAGAAAAGCATACGCATCAATAAACCAAATTTTACAAGAATAAGCAGACTCTTAAGATTATATAGCCAGTTAATGAGGAATCTCTTAATGAGTAAATTGACAGTGGCAGGGGGCGCAAAGAGTGAACTAGTTAAATATAAATAGTTTTGTATTTTCGCCATGCTCTGAGCTAGGGACGCGTTACCGTGAAGCCTGGTTAGATTTTCAAGCGGTTACAAAGCACTGGATCAGCAGTTTTTAGAATCTGACTGACACTCATACGTACATAATTCATCACAACTCTTAAATGCAAATCGGAGTATTGTCAAGTTCACCGGAAGCCAAGATTGAGGGATTTTTTTGCCCCACTGTACACTGTTTTACAAGCGAGGGCTAGAAGACATTATTGCCAGTACGTTAGAGGAAAAGGATTTAGCTCGATTCAGGTACAAATAACTCGGGCTAAAAACATGATTTCAGGACCCCGATACAAAACCCTCCCATAGTATTGCTTAGCCCAGAAAAGCACAGAAACATTTAGAGAGATAATTAAAATAATATCTTACAACTCCTTTCCATTGTGTGGAAAAAATTTGGATTTCTTTTCCCCCTCTATTTTATTGCTGTTAAACAGAATTGTTGCCAAGGTTCTACTTCACCAGTCATAAATGAGGCTTAGTTTTACTGCCTGTTAACTTACCCGGTCCAACTCAAGAACAATTTGTTGTTACCTGAGTTCTGTGATGTATTCCAGGAGTTTTTCAGTGTCAGACTTTTCTTCAACTTTCTCTCTCTCAGTAGCAGACCTAAAACCAGAAAGTTTTCATAATGGATGTATTTAAACAAATCCAGAGCTATTTGTAAGCTATTTGTTTACAGATAAGCAAATAGAAATAAACCATTGACTCATGACTTCGCAGTAATACAATACATACTTTTCATGATCCAGTTTGGCTGACAAACTGGTACTGGCTCTAAGAGGTGATTCTACCCTCTTTTGATGCTTGTGCCATATGGTCTTCTCATCTGTAGTAAAGATGCTGAGCCATATTCTGCCACACACGAGAATGCTACAACAGCTGCATTATCTAGACAAATCATCATTTCCTCCCTTTGGGAATTGCACTACTGGAAAAAGGTTAGTAACACAATACTGTTCCTCTGGTGTATGTTCATTTTATAAGAATACAGAAGTTCCTAAAACTTCATTCCATCAAATTTATTCCAAGTCACAAATACTAATAATTTCTGTTCCTTCTCGGCAGGAAGACGGCCTGCGTTTTTCCCTAAACTACATGCTTACTGTAAGGTGTAAGCACAGCTAGATGATATAACGTCATCTAAGTCAATTCCTTTCCTTACTACTTACAGTTTTTCTTCTAACTGTGCTACTTTTCCTTTTGAATGCTCTAGATTCCTTTGCACTTCCTGCAGCTTCATTTCCATATCTTCCTGCTTCGCAAGTGCCGTCTTAAAAAACAAAAAGACAAATATTACCACCAAAGAGATTTAGTAAAAAAAAAAACAAACAACCCATTGCCTAAGAGACAGTGGTAAACTGAAATTAACAACTACAATTTAATGATAGTGCTTACTACTATGCTAAATGTGATTCAAAGTATCCCTCTGTAAAGATATTAGCCATTTGTTAAAACAGCCACCACCACCACGCCCCAAAAAACGCAAACAAGTGTAAGAGCTTCAAACTATACTTAGGACCACTGGTTTTCAAAGACATTAATAGTCTGACCAACAGATTGGTATTGTAACAGAGGTATTTCTAGGCTTCCTTACTTGAACTCAGATTTACTCTGCACATCAACAGCAAAAATCAAGAACATTCGTTGTTTGATCTTTCTTTCTCTGCTTTCACTCTACAGAAAACAGAAGAATCTACCTAGTTGAGGACAGAAACAAAACATGATCTACACTTCTGTTTTAAGCCCTTCATTGTCTGTTCCTGAACAGCTCAGAATTACTATCCTGTGCAGTGCAAATGGTCATACCTTTTCCTTAGCATCCCGCTTGTTTCTGAGCTTCATTAACTCCATGCATAGGCTGCTCATTTTCTTCTGCACACCATCTTCAGACAGCTTATTAGGGATGAACGTAAAACCCGTAAGCATCACTCCTCCGTATGAATTACTCTTCACACAATCTTTTAAAAGCAACCCCCTCCCAACGACAACACTGATCCCCACCCATCCTTGAGACAGATGTTAGCAGGCTCACTCTGCCTTTAGACAGAGGCACACAAGATGCCAAACCAGACATGCTCTATCCCTGTGGCAACAAATGGGCACGGGGAACTCAAAAACAAATGCTGATCAGCAACTAAAGTTTCCTCTTGCCCAGGGAGCTTAACAACAGCAAAGTCAAAGCACTTATTTGTCCGAATACCTTTGACTTTAGTAGTTCATTGGTTCTTGTTAGTTCCAGAAGCTGTTTTTTTAGGCATGCAACGTTTGCCAAAAGAGATGTTTTCTCCTGAACTGCAGCACTCAGCTTTGCTTCAATCTTAACAAAATCCTCATCCAGAGCCTGAAGTTTTTTATCCTGCTCGCCACGCTCTCTCACTAATGCACGAATCTAAAACAAAAAAGGTATTTTTTTATTTCCTACTATTATTCTTCTTAAATAACATCATTAGTCTATGCCTATTGTTTTCTTGCAGAGGCCAAGTATCCAAACTGTATCGATTTTCATTCGGAATATGTATCTTCAACTCTGTCATTCACAGGAAAGGAGATAACAGAATCACCGCAATCCCCTGTTATTACACACCACGGATTTGCAGTCCTAGCTCTTCAGCTGACTTATTTTATGCTACTGAGCCAGTACTACACGTTACAGTTAGAATAGTCTTAGCTTCAACTTGCAGTAGAAGCCAACTCTCCTCTTTGGCTGTGGAACAGAAAGACGGAATGCGACATTTGAGACACATGAGGCATAGATTAGTGCACACAAGTGTACTGGTAAAGACAAGCTAGCTGCCTCTTAATCTTTAAAGTTATGTCAATTATTAAGGAAAAATCTCAGCAAACAGTTGTTAAATAAAACAGAACCTTTTGGGGGCAGAGAACATCGGACTTGGTGTTAGATATTACCTGCATAGCTGTGCACAATCGGTGGGAATTTGTGGAACAAGCCCAGTGTTTTCTCCATACCATAACATTTGATAACCTCTGCTCTGCACAGAGCCGTTTGCAAACTACCTGTATGCTACGTTATGCAAAAGACGCTCGTTTTACCAGCTTGTATTTTTTATTATGGTAAGTGGGAAACATATCACAGGATTGCACACATATAATGTATTCATACCTCCTTCTCCAGCGTCTTCTGCTTCTTTTTCTCTTTCATAAGGATAAGATCTTTTTTAGGCTTCAGAGTCCCATTAGCTGGCTTTTGAAAACAGGTGTATTACAAATATTTAATCTGATCTCTAGCTGCATACTAGTTTAACAATGCAGTTAAACATAAGAGTGGATGCCTTCAAAAAAAAATAAAAAGCAAACATCTCTCTCCCACACACAGGGCAGACAAGTATCAGGCGAGGATGGGTTTTACCACTGTACTTTCTCAGAAGCATTACTCTGAATGGACAGCTCATAACCATTGTGACAGGAAGGAGATGAAGAAAGTTTGAGACATTAGCATCCCCTAAACTGAAAAAACCCACTTTTATCTCTTAACCACAAGTTTGTTTGCAGAATTTCATCCTACATCATGAGTATCAGTAAAGTAAATTAGCAGGTCAGGGTTATCATTTTTTGACTTGTTAAGCTACGCATCTTCAAATCCACATCCTCGCACGCTGCACTGAGAAGTTGCATATACAGTATCGCCCCCTCTTTGTTTCTGCTCGTATGAAAGCAGAAACACGCCCTTCTTAAAAAGAAGCAGCCACACCATAATTATATGGTGAGCAAGAGGCAAAAAACCCCAGCATTGTAACACCAAAGACCACAAGCCACTCTGTAGTAATGATCACGTGGTTCCCAAAGATGCTGCAATTTCATTTTCCCTTCTTAGTTACTAAGGAATACAGGCACAGTAATGTGCTTCATAGTCTACTCAGGGAGGTTAATAGTAATTGTACGAAGGGGCTACATGACTTATCTAGTCACAGTGAGCCTTAGCTGCAATTTAACAGTGTTAGAGACACCACAGGAGAGTCTTACTGTTGATCCGAGAGATGTGAGTCTCCTTCCAGTTACAGGGGTAGGTGCACTCTTCTCACTGTTCAGATTTGTCTCACCTGCAGAAGGTTGTAGAAAAGAATGGTGGAAGAAGAGGGTGTGCATGCACATGGTGAGGGAAGTTTAATCAAACTAGACAAGGTTAATTGGCTTTTTCTACAAAAGACAGAATGCCACCTGATTATTAGACTATCCCCTTCACAACCCAATGCCAGCTGTTTTCTTATTGCAATCAGGCAGCTCAATACGAGTCATCTGGGCACTTGACAGAGCTTAGAGAGAGACTACCAGATCACAGTCAGTTTTGAGAATTCAGCTTCTGCCAAGTTTCCCCCCCCCATACAGATCCATGCTGTCAGTTTTCAACTGAGGGATGCTTTATATCTGAAAAAGCCATGGAAATATCACTAAAACAAGGTTAACAAAGTAGTTAAATCATTTATTTGATCTCCAGAGGTCCCCCTGATTAGCAGAAGTCACATATAAAGCTATTTTTGGAAGATTCAGTTAGACATGTTTTTACAGCTGCTATTCCCTTGAGCTGGAGGGTAGGCAGTGAGCCCCTGCAACAGAAAACAATTTCTAAACAAGAACGGAGCAGTAACAGCATGTAAGCACTAATAATTGTACCATTCAAAGATATTATGCCATCATGTTCTGTGCAACTTTTAGGACTACTTACTCTTCTGTTTCCTAACCCGTTGACACGTTTCAGAGGAGAGAGAACTTTTCAGTGCATCTGAAGATTTAACATCACGGGATCGTTGCAGTGGGGTACATACTAGAAATTAGATTTTCAGAACAGCAGAGAACTATTAAGGTAAATGATCAGGTTTTCAACTTCAACAAGTTGAGGCTGGTAACACATCTAAGTTAAATCTACTTAAAAAAAAAAAAAACCAAACAACAACCAACAACTGGAGTCTCAGTTCTCCTCATCCTCTACATAAACATGAGGACTCTGAACAGCACACACGCTTCGATTATTACACCGCTAACAAAATTAGAAACTGTGATTTACATATGCAATATTGCAAGACATCTTATTAGTGACAGCAGTGCATGAACTTCCATACCCCCCCAAATGGTTAGAGGGTCTTAATGCTAATTAGCGAAAAGCCAGTCTAAAGTAATAAAAAGCTAAAAAGCAAACTTAACTGTTTGCTTTCAAACCTCTTCTTCCAGTTCAGAACAGACTACTTAGATGTTATTGAATGCCAAACTTTTCCTCCAAAGAACTAAGTTACTAAAACTTTTTTTATTTATTTTTTTTTTAAATTAAACATTTTAAGGGAAACAGCAGACAACACCAAGATGGCTACAAACTCTTCGTACAATTATCAGTATAGCCAGAGGGTCTCAAGCCCACCAAATGCTTATCTATTTGCTTCAGCTTTCTGCAGATGAGAGCAACTTCATTTAGTATGGGAGCCGGTGACGGCAGCAGAGCGACATTCAGCGACCGGCACAAACTCACGGTGAGAGACTTTTACACTAGAAAGCGCTCTCACGAGCTTCCGTCGCGACTAGTTCTGTGCGTTTCTCTCGTAGTTTTGTATCACGACATCAGAAGGCTCACAAATCCCGGATTGTCGCTGTTTCATTTACTACACACATATATATATGTTCAGCGCTACGTTTAGTAGCCGTTTAGCTGCGACCAGGATCCGACCTGAAGTCGGAATTTTTTTCCTGAGAAGGAGAGCCGTACGAGCGCTTAGACAAGAGGGCCTACAGGCAACTCCCCTCACGGGGGGAGCGCCGGCAGAGGCCCGGGGACGCGCTGAGGCTGAGGCAGCGGCAGGCCGGTGTCCTCCCCCTCCCCCCCCCGGCGCTCCTCGGGCTCCCTCCCCGCCGCGCACGTACCGGAGCTGTCGTTGAAGCGGCGGGGGGGGGCCCT